TGTGCCCCAACCAGGAATCAAACCAGTGACCTCCTGGTTCCTGGGTGGACACTCAACCACTGAGCCACACTGGCCAGGCTCCAAAACTTTTTTATCTTCCCAAACTGAAACTCTGTGTCCATTAGATATTAATTCCTCATCCTTCCCTCCCCACAGCCCCTGGAGACAGCCATTCTACTTTCTGTTTCTCTGAATACAATATGTGTCCTTTTGTGTCTGGCTTACTTCACTTAGCATTTTATCTTCAAGGTTCACCCAGGTTGTAGTATTCTGCCCATTTTGCAGATACGACGATGGTTATTATTACCACTTTACAGAGGATGAGGTTCAGGGAACGATCTGAGAGCGACTGAAAAGCAGACTCGTCCTGGGGCTGATGGGATTGGCTGCCTTTTATAATCCCCTGGAGAAATCAGTGCTAAGCCATGTGCCTAGGCCTGTATGGCAGTTGAAGAGTAATTTCCTTTGTGTTGTATTTCCGTTGGGAATAGTTATGCTCTTATTCCCATTTCCCACTCTTTTCCGCTCAGTAACTCCTCCTAATATTTTCACTCCCGCCACCACCCTCCCACCAGCCCCAGTTTTCTCCTCCCTCGAGCACTTTAACTCCTTTTTCTTGGGCCCAACTGGCCTGGTCTGGAGGGCCTCCTGCGTGGGTCCCATCTGAGCGCGTTAAGCCTTGCCTGAGTCCCCGCTTCCACCCCTCTCCCCTCCTCCCACCCTGGGGTAGTCATGAGCCTGTTCCCTTTCAAAGCAATTAGTGCAAGGAGGCCAGCCGACTCGGTGCTAATGCCGTTTCATTAAGTGGGAGCAATCCTAATGATAATAAAATGGCACATTTAACATTCAAACATTGAACAGGGTTTCTAAGCGAGTGTGTCTCTCTTTCTTTCTGGTATAACAGTTCCATCTTCATAAGGACCTGACAATACACCTTAATGGGAGACTGGGGGACTGAGTATCTTTCCAGAACCAGAGAGAGGATGAGAACCAGACAAAGAATCCAGACAAAGAATCCAGAGAAAAGGGGTGCAGCGCATCCAGGGGATAAGGACCCCCAAGGATTCCTGGGGCAATGAATTCTGTGGTGCTGAGTCTATATGAAATGGGGTCACACGGAGAATAAAGCCCACCGCCGACTTTAAGGCAATGCCATTACTTATTTATCGATTCAACACATTTCTTTTCACAAACATTCACGGTGCACCCACGATGAGGCAGGTTTTAGCAGAGCTTGTGATGGAGGGTGGCTCTAGTTTCAAGGAAAGGGAACTTCAAGGGCAGTAGTCCTCTACAAATCATCTTGTTTACCCTCCGCTGGGCAGCCTTAGTCAAATCCATCTCCAATTCATCAAATGTCCCAGCAAAGAGAATTTTAACAACCACTTTGGTCTCCTGCCCAGGTCCTTGTGCCCCTCGTTGTACAAACAGACATCCTCTCGAAGGTCCTGGCTACTCCGTGATGATAGAATATTTGATTGGCCATCTAGAAGCAAAAAGGTAATGGGATTGAGGAGCTGGCCAGGGAAGAAGGTACATTCAACCGTCTGGTGTTTAGGGGGGACTCTAAAAGCAGAAGAGGATGACATCCCACTG